GTTACGGAACGGGAATTACCGGAAAAACCAAGAATCTTGGTTAACTTACGGAACGTCGCCTCCGCCTATCCAAAACACGTGACTATGACAAGCAAAATATGGCCGGCAGGAGGAACACAAACTACTATTTACTATTACCCACAGTGGCGACAATTGCTGTCTTATTTTTGATTGGTTCTAAAATCCCATATATTTATATTGCAAACGCCGCCATCTTGTTGCCCATCTATTGCTTATTTCAAATCTGAATATATGGGATTTGGGTGAACATCCATCATAAAACATGGAAAACAACGTATTTGATGGACCTAATAATAGTCATCAAATACGTCGATTTCAATTTTTTATGATAGATGTCCATTTAAATCCTATATATTAATATTTAAAAGTAACAAGAGCTTGGGAACAAAATGGCGCCGGGACCTCTATTGTCGCCACTGTATGTAAAGGTTTATTTAGCCACTGTACTATTTACATACACTCTTCAAATACACTATTTCTAACATTAATAAAAACAATAGTTTTTAGTATAACAACGCAAACAATTCACGATTAGCACCATATTTAAAACTTATAACATTATTTGATAACACATACTTAAACAAAGGGTTGTGCCTCCTGGGGCCGGATTTTTGTCTAAGGGAGTAAAGGTCCCCGATAGAAAAAATGCTTCGTCCTTGTCAATGAAATCGAAAAGTAAACCTGAATGATAAAGACGAAAAATTTGTTCTCTCGAACCAGTAAGATCTGATGGAAACAATCGTCAGCTTAAGCAAAAGTATCAGGTAGGTACCTACATTTTATCCAGTTGAAGTATGCGCGTATTTTTTTATTCCCTTTATTATCAAACCCTTTATTGCAGGCTTCACCTTCATTTTACCTTCACCTACTTCAACTTTATTTTTTGTTATTATCCGAATTTAGCGCTCCTAATATTGGAAAAACTACTCACAAAGGTTTGGCATGAGTTTCGAACTCTTTTTTACCTTTGCTTGTGGCTGTCGATTGAGCATATGTATTTTTTTCTGGCTGGTGCCGCTGCCAGGGACCCGAACCGGAACGATCGTTTTATTTCGCGGACCGGAACCGGAACGAAACCAATATTCCATAGAAATGTTTTAAGGCAAGTAGAACCGGAATCGGAACCGATATAAATTAGTTGTATTTTTCAGTTCCAAGATATCATAAATTAGGCTGCTTGATAAATTAATACTTAAAACAGATCGTTCGAAAGTGTGCATTTCTGAATTCGGCTAGGCTAAACCAAGGATATTACACACTAGGTACCATCGTCACCAAAAGTATCTGGGACACAAATGCCTAATAATCTCCTGGACTAATTCTACTGTCATTCATTTCAATGCATTATATTCATAGTTTGACAAATATTTGACAATAAAATTCATATAATAGGACAAGAGCTAATGTGATGCTGTCCCAGTTACTTTTGGTGACGATGGTACTACAGGATTGCTCATCGGCCTCGATTTTTGGAATCAAGTTCATATGGCGTCGCACCGTTGGCGACGTCATCAACGGTGTCATCAGCAGTTTGCGCCAGCTGTCGTACTTAGGAATATACATTTATGATGAAAAATATTATAATTTTGATTAACATAATAGGCAAAGAGGAAAATACAAACGGGATCGAAGGGTTGTTTTAGAATGTTTAACACGTTGACGGACAGTGCGTCGATTGTGTACGCAAGTGTTGTGTGACACTCTATGTATTTTATAAAGTTGAATGGGGAAAGTGCTGAATTTCTTTGAGCGCATATAGTTTATGCAAAAAAGCAGTTAAAAAAAAATTGTAAACATTTGGACGACGGCCATGGACGTCGTGTCATACTACATATGTATCTGTAGATGTAATGATGTAATGCGACATAACGTTTATAGACGTCACAGACAATTTCCGAAACGCGCGCTAAATATTTTTTGTACATGACCTCAATACTTATTCTAGAATAATCATCAACAAATATACGAAATAATACACCCGTTTGAAATTTTTTGAATAACCGCTACACAATAAAATTGTTATATAAAAACTTTTTACTTTTTATATGCAGATATCCGTATACACCTTATTCAATTCACCATTTTGTTGAAGACGTGGTGACACCAACATAAAAATACAACAATGTCTGACGAATGGCAACCGGACTTCTACTGACGTTGTGTCGACCAGACATGCGTTACCCACCTTCCCACTTTCAAAGGCGATTTTCAGCCTGGAATGATTATTATTTAGTTATAACCAATGCATTTCCGCCGTCGCGGTTTTAACCAAAGTAGGGGAAGTTGTGACGTCATATATCAGCTAATTTGCTTTTGGTATTTACCACTTATAACCGATTATAACCCAGCTTTGGACTTGGGTTAATCTTTTGGTTACAGCTTTTTGTGTTATTATTTTTGGAATATTATTTGTATTGGTGTTTTGTGATTTTGCAGTTGCGTTGTAGTCTGGCACAATGAAAGAAGTATACGTTCACTCACTCGAGGTTTAGATCATCCCCAAAGAAAATCTGTTCGATAAACGAGACTGACGAGAGATTCAGCTCCATTTTTAGTACCTAAACAAAAAACTATTGTTGAAACGAAGAAATAAATAAGAATAATAAACATAATCCTACACAGCTATAACCAAATCATTTCAGCGGTCAGTTCCAGCGGCCTGAATGGTGGGGGGCTATGACATCACACTTGGCTGTCAAAGTTGTCAACCAAAAGAATAACCACGGTATTTACCGATAAATAATCATTCCAGGCTGAAAATCGCCTCAAACGGCCAAATTTTAAAATGCGGTGACAGTAACCTATATTTTTCTGTGCATGTGGTGACAGTATAAATTTGTTCGTATAGTATTTATATGTGAGAGCCGATGTCTACCGTCGGTGTGTCAGAACTCGTTATTTTTAAAATATCGTCTTTAGACGTTGTGTCACATAACATCGATGAAAATTAGACGTCTATAGACGTTCTGTCCATCATCGTGTAATAATGTACTGAAACCAAATAGTTATATTTTAATTTGTATGTCCTAGTCATAGTTTTAATTGTTCATAATAATAAGACTTTTTTATATTGTTGTAGCCCTGACCAAAGTAAAAAAAAATTGCCGAAAGCTCGGCTTAGTAGAAAAAGAGAGATTTCTTTCCTAGCCCTTCAGAACGACCGATACCCCAAGAACTCCCATTGTTTGAAACCAAATACATATGCATAAAGCACCTACGTCAACACGAGAAACGACACGCTGTCTACGTCATCACTGGTACTTTGGCGTGGTAGGGGGCCAGAGATTTTTATTTATTTTTATGGTAATATTTAATATTTATTTAAAAGTCTATTGAAATGGCAAAATACGGTCACCAGTTAATCTCATAAGCATATGCATGATGTCATTGATGACGCAAGGGCAAAGTTAAAACGTTAAAAAATACAAACTGTAATTAAGTGATCGAGAACACAAATAATTTATTATTATTTATTATTATGTAGTAATAATAATTATTAAAGTTGTTGCAGATAGGCGGAGAATAAGGTTCCTAAAGGTAATAGATTGCCTGGTAATGGGTAACTTGATGACGCGTCTGGGGTGCCTTATAGAGATTTGCATTATATTGACGCACCCCAGATGACGTTATAAAGTTATCAGGCAACCTACCTCTCTCAAACAACCTTGGGCAAAGAAATCCAATAAAAAATAAACCAAAAATTACAGAAACATAAATTTTTCTGTTAGAGATTTGTGAAAAACTGGTATGAGCCGTTAAAACGGAAACGCCAGTTTATTCTGTCCCCACCTGTAACTTGCGGCCGCAGAAAATTGCGAAATTGTCGCTGTCAAACGCGAGTTTTCTATTCTAAAAAAAGCAACTGCGACGCGGTTGCTGGTTGCTATGTACTGTTCGTAGAGAATAGGCCTGCTGAGTGCTGATATTTCATTTCGGCAGTGTTACCAGATTGGGGGATTTTCCCCCAAATTTGGGGGATTTTCAAGTAGATGGGGGAAAATCTGGGGGATAGTTTTTTCTGGGGGATTTTTTGGGGGTAAAAATTGTGAGAATTTTCGCTATTGGGGGAAATCGGGTATATTTCAATGAATAAAAATAAAGTAAAAAATGTATTAAAACGCTAAATTTTAAGTTATGTCTTATTTCTTATTTTATGTTATTAAGTACCTAAGTACTACTATTTTCATAAATTGAGATTATTTTTTAAACTATCCAAACTTCTTGGTACAACTGTACTTATTTCTTCTGTCGCCAGTCACAACATTTTATTTCATTTGTCATTTGTCAATTGTCATTTTATTTTTGGGATTAGAAAAATATAAATAAATAAAAAAGTGGCAAGGGTATGAGTTTTATTTTAAAATATTCAACGAATTTGGCTTTTTTTTTTGCAAGTATGATTCGAGAATAAATCTATATTTATTTGGGGGATTTTAGTTGACAAACAGTGATTTTTGGGTTATTTTTGAAATCCTTTGGGGGAAATTAGTTATAACCATCTGGCAACCCTGCATTTCGGTCTGAGTCCTTGCCGCCTGCCGCTGACTTTTCATTTTTGTGTACACTTTCCGACACCACTGCAACGTGATAAATAGAGCTGGATTTTAGCGCTAGTTATGTGTAAGAAAGAGACAGGTCTATGATGTTGGACCAAAGACAAAGCGTCGGATGTTAAATTTGACAATGTCACTTTGTAGATGGAAAATAGTGGCAGCAATAAAGTTCCATTTATTTTAAAATAATAAGGCAAATAAGCTCAATAAAATATAAAATCGATTTTGCAAAGTTCAGGTTTTGCCGGATATTTCCGTAAGTATTCGTTATTTTCAATTAACCTATTAAAATGAGCAGAAAATTACGCTACTTTTTTCTTATACAACCGCACCCGTATTTCTTGTGTTATCCCTTCCTTGTTTTTTACATTGTCGGTTCGAGGAAGGCCGAGTGAGGCTGGGATTCGCGATTTCGCGATTCGCTCGCCAGCACCGAGACCGATCAAATGTGCTCCGTAACCCTAATGTTTTCTTTCCGTGTTGACCGCCAGTGAACCATGAACCAAGTGATTTTCATTTTTTTTTGTCCGCGGCCATGTAACCTGTTACCTTATCAGTGCGAGGAATTTGACTTTTGGTTGTAAATTCTTGGTATGTAATGGTATTCTAAAAAATCACGGCAACTTAAACAATATACTGCTTCACATTTTAATCAAAAAATTAAATTGTATCTGTTTGACAGTGAAGTAGGTACAGTCGGAATCATTGCAATTGGCACACACTATATAAATATCCCTCGTAATGTGTCAAATGTGACACACCAGGTAATAGCAAAATGCTGCACTGAATAGATTTATTGGTTAGAATTTTGACTCAATACGAGGGATTTTAAAGAGTGTTTGCCAATTGCAATGATTCCCACTGTACATACCAAAATAATCCAAAATGGCTTTCAAATATTTGTACTCAGATTAGGATTAGACACCTGTACTTCCTACAGATCATTTTCGGGGAAAAACAAAATTATTATTTTTGTTTGATTAGGAAATTTGTTATCAATGCACTTTAATAATCTAATCGCTTCTCCTTCAAGCTCATTCGTTTTCGAAAAACCAAAACAGAAAGCGTATTAGTCACAATACCTTTTTTATCTTTCACAGTTAAGTTGCTAAATTATTGCAAGTCTGCCAATCTGGTCTTTTGAAAAAGTCGGTGAGTCGTGACTAATACCTATTTGTTTAGCTTAAAGTGCTGTCTGTCCCTGTTGTGTAAGTTATTTTTATGATTTGAAAAGCTTTTGAAAGTGCCGCAAGCCCGCAAATTTAATAAAACAATGAAGAATTGGATCTAATTTCATTTCTAAATTCGTAAACAGGATAAGACTATTTGTTTTCCAAGAGAAGAATGTATGAAGAAAATTAAATGGAAAAATTAATAAATACAACATTGAACGTTTTACTGCGTACAATAGAGTAGAAGGAAGCAAATTTTATTCTATATATTTTTTTTTCCAGATTAGATAGAAGTAAGCCCACCTACTACAATGTCTGCACAAAATAAAAAAACTCAAACTACTCCCAAACCCTCAAACCCTCCTAAAACTTCAAGTATTGCCAAAACTAAGCCCCCGACTAATCCAGATGTAGCCAAAGCCCAGAAGAAAATGGAAGAAGTCCTAATAACCATCAACAGAGATTTCATCAGTCTACAAGATGAAGAGTTGAAATACAATAACATACTGCTAAGATCAACTCTGGACAGTCTTATATTGATAATGCAAAAAGAAGATCCCCTTTTCAAAACCCTCTTCGAAAGACTATTTTACGGAGGAAGCTTCTACGACAACCTAAAAGTTCAAAATCCTGACGAATTTGATATTCATTTGCTCATGGTTTTGCCTTCATGCGAAATCCACAAATCCAACACCTGTAAATGTGTTAGAGTTGAACGCAGTGACAGATGCGGATATGTTTGGTTCAAAACGGATAAAACTTATTACGCCGCCATAAGCAGCTGGATAGATTCTAAAGGTTTCGTGCAAACGAATCTAGTTCTTAACTGGTTAAAAGGCGTGCTCAATAGAGCCCTTAATACGCTCAAAACTGACCATTATAGCAAAGCCAATGGTGGACCTAAATACCATTCCGAATCTGGTCCAGCCCTTACATTACGTCTTCAAGGCAAATATGGTCCTATAGACATCGATATGGTTGCAGCATTCAAATTTGGTCCTAAATATTGGCCAGAGGCACCTTTTAGAAAAAATCCTGTAGCAAGCAAGCCAAATTTCTTCATTGTTCCAAAAAAAGCTAAGAATTTCCCACAGGCTGAAAAGTATTGGCGTTGTTCGTTCCAGGATCAAGAAAGGGAATTGTTAGAAAAACAAGCACGTCTCAAACCCGCCTTAAGGCTGTTGAAAAAAACGAGAAATAATTTGAAACACGATGCAGTATCCAGTTACGCTCTTAAAAACATAGCACTGAACCAAGACGCTGGATTTTTCGATAATAGAAAAACTCTTAGCGAAACTTTTATGGGACTTTTGGAACAATACCGGGTGTGCTTGAAAAACCAAAACATTTCGAACTATTGGTACAAGAAAGAGAATTTGATTGGCGACAAAAATCCTGAGACTTTAAAGATTTTTTATAATGAAATCGAAAGGAAAATGAAGCAAATTGAGAGGGAGCAAACGACGAATCCTGCAGTTGTGGCTAAAATTATTTTGAAAGAAGGAAGTCAGGAGTATGAAAGTTTCATGAAAACATTTGGGAAGTGATTGTTTTAACTTTATTCAGATTGTTTTTAGTATGTATCTTGTTTTTTAATGAGTATGTGTAAGTACGTTTAATATGTGTATTGTATTTTTATGGATCATTATCTTCTGTTTCTACAAATAAGAAATGACTTTAATAAACCAACTAGTAACAGTCTTAACTCTTTCATAAATCATCTATCTGAAACTATTAGTAGAAGGCAAAAGCCAGTAAGGTTAATTGGCGATTTGGAAAAAAAAATCTAAACATTGAACAACTTAAACGAGATTACAAGTGGTAGGTAAATCAAAGTTTTAAAAAAATTAATTAAAAATGCTATGAAAAGGGACACTAAGCAGTTGTGAAACTTAATCAAGGATAAAATGGGAGGCAAGAATAGGGCAAACAATAGTAAAGTCAATTTTTTAATGTACGAGGCAGATTCTCATTTCTCAGAATATTCGCCCAAATCATTATAGAGCTATTCATTTATCAGAGGTCTGTCTCCTATATTTCCATTTTAAAGCCACCGTAAGGTACTACACATGTATTTTGGACAAATTGAATACTTTTTAAAATACATACAAGTTTTTGCAATTAGGAGATAGAATCGTGGATATGAAGCTAGAAGTTTATTAAGGAGAATACACTTTGAAACCTTTATGCAGTTTCATGTCACTCCATCAACAAGCAGAATGCATCGTCCGTCGTTGAAAACAATCGAGTGGATTTCAAAAGTGGAGCTATGTAAATGACAGTTACATTTTCAGAATGCTCTACTATTCAGAAAATTGTCTTTTCAATACACACTTGGACGGATGTTGTCAGCTGTTGGAAAATTGTCTGTCCAAATGTTCGACCAAATGTAAGTGGAATCACACTTTTCTTAAAAAAGAATGCAACATTTTTCAGAATAGAGTCTCGGATTGATTATATTTTGAAACTAAGTCTACTGAAACAAATAGAACTCTCAAAATCAAGAAGTTGTGATGTGAAGAAAGAACTAGACACCGAGTATCGATTTTTTTCTCTTTTTGGCTTAGGAAGTTTTTTTTTTAAAAATATTCTGGTTAAGATTATTCCATCAGCATGTAGGTAAGCACATCTCCATTTTGAGGTCACCTATACTGTCAGTCACTACACATGTATTTTGAAAAGATTCTATTCTTGCTAGTATATCAAGGTTTTGCAATAATAAGCAATCGATTTGGAACAGCGGATTTTCTTAGAATAAGACACATTCTTCGAGCTTTTGCAAAATTATTTCAATCTACTATCGAAACAAGATGGAAACCCTCTGTAGCTGAAAATTTATATCACATATCACAGTATCCCCATTTTAATACGTGTGAAAGCTTATATTTTTTTCTGCAACAAAATGTCATATTTTTTAGAAGTCTTAAAATATGAGTGTAGGTACTACAAAGTCCTAAATCAAAAATGTCCAGAATTACAGTATCCGCCAAAATAAACAGTACTGAACATATAAATTATATCATTTATTAATTTGTATCACGCGTATAGGTTCAAAAAATGCATCATAGCGACGCGAAAAAGCTTCATAACGATTCTGTAAATCATTGAAAATATTTAATCAGAGTGGTTGCTGAAATTTTTCTGAGACTTGTTTCAAACTTGAGCTTTTATTCCTTCCAAATCCGTATGACCGGAAATAGTGCTCTACTAAGAAAACTGTTTCTTAAGTTAAAAGATACATAATGACGAAGATTTCAACCTTAACTTAATGTCAACCTCATAACTAAGCCCGAGTAAGCGAAATGTGATAAATGCAACTTGCTTGCGCAATTACTCAGAGCTCTAGATTTCGGTACTGTTTATTTTGGCGGATACCGTAATAAATAATGACCACCCAGTAATAAGCTTGTCAATCAATAGGGTAGTGGACAATTTTTTTAAAATATTTTTTTTATTAATCTCCATAACAAAATAAATAGTAGTTGATGATTCTTTGATTTTAGAAAACAAAAATATACCTAAAAAAAAAAAAATTGTACTTATTTTAAACGCTATAATTTACCGCCCGGAAATTACGTCATAGCTGTTATGTCTTATAGCGTCAAGGCATTCCGACATTAATAAAAGTGGGCGAGAGCGCGGTCAGTGCGTCCTTATATTTTACATGCATCTAGAATAAGATGCAGATAAGCTCAGTGCGCATTGATTGACAAATGGAAATCTCTCAAAAAGTGGGGTTAAGTTGAGGGTGCGCCCGACAGACGCTGATAAATCTCTCTTTTTTGCACTAATGAGTAAGTGTGTGTCGAATATAGGACGAAGGTTTGATTAATTTCATACTCAAATACAGCAGCTATGACGTAGAATCAAGGCGCGAAATATTTTCGTTTAAATAGTGCGTCCCAAAACTGTACTTTTACAATCGTTTTAAACAAAGTTAGCAATTTTTTCAGAAATTTCTTTCAATAGGAATATTTTTCATTTACTCCATAGATGAACAATAGATCATCGATTTTATTGAAATTATACCTTCGCCACTACCCTATTGGAAAGATTCCAAATTTCAAATATGACAATTTAACCTAAACCTAATCTACAGTATAGACGCGTATGTAAGTTGGTTTACATATTTTTGGAAAACCTAGTTATTTTCTAGTCACAACCTGCCATGAATTTCATAAAACAAAGAAGGTGGGAATTATTTCCGAATTTATTGAGCAAGACTCAAAGGCATTCTTTTTAAAGAGCAAATACTTTTGCGAGTTTTGGGACAATTAGCAAACAATTGGTTAGGATATTGTAGAAAAGTGTTTGCTAGTTTTGCGGAACTCTTCAAACCTGGCTAAGATAGTAAAGCCCAAAAAAGCAATTTGTTCAACAGTACCTATGTTTAACTGTATCAAAGGCTTTAGGCAAAGTCCCAAGAATGGGACTTTCTTTATCAATCCTACAGATAGTGTTGAAATTACTAGAATTATATCTCAGATGGAAGTTTAATGTAGGAATGGTGATGGTTTTAATGGTAGAACTATTAAAATAATCAAAGACTATATCGCTAAATCTTTGGAGCATATTTTTAATAATAATTGCATTCAATTGTGAATATGGCCTAATATATCAAAATCTGCGGTAACTCTACCTGTATACAGACAGGACTAGGCTACTAGACCCATAGGCTTCAATGGGACCAATTGACTCACTGCAAAATCATCACGGTGGATCGTCCTTGCATGTTAGTGAAATTCGTGCATCTTCGATAGCTCAGCGATACTCGGCTCGATTCGTCTAATCCGGGTAAAAGCAAATTCGTGTTATTACTACCAATGTGTCTAGTAGGTTGGTCTGTATAAGGCAAGTGAGAAACATTGTGGAATAATTATAAATCAATCTCTCTGATATCAAACATTGCAAAAATACTAAAGAAGGTGCTACATATACTAGGTTGTTCAGTTTTTCTTCAAAATGCCATATGAAATTCTTCAGGATGAAATCAAGCAAGAGAACGACTCTATCTGACTCGGAGCGGGTGCGACTTCTTATGCATTCGAAGTTTGAAGGAGAACGACTTTCGAAGATGCTCAGTCAGATACAATTACTAATAGACAAATTTCCTCTACCCTAGATCGAACGTACCTGAAGAAAATGTTGTTCCATCATCTTCCGCCAAATATAAAGATTGGGTTACTTGCTCTAAAGAACAGTTTATATATTATCAGATAACTCGCAAAAATGACTGACAATATTTTTTAACCTTTTGATCAGCAATCATCCATGCCTGCTAATGAAATTACTAAATCACTCAATGAAAAATTTTACAAACTATTAAACGAAATAGCTGAGTTGAAGAAACTTGTTGAATCATCCACAAAACAACCCAAAAGATCAGGCAATTCAACAAGTTCATCAGAGACCTCTATCTGTTAGTATCATAGTGATTATGCGAAGAAGGCAAAAAAGTGCGTTCAACCATGCACAGATCAGACGGCAGGAAACCGAGGGAAGCAGCAAGCAATACGGGCGACTGCGACTTGTGATGATGCAAAAGAGCTGTTGCGTACATTCGAAGAAAAATATGATACAGCAATGGAAAACTTGATCCACGAAATGAGTAAACGCTCAATAAGAGCAAATAATATAATGGTTTTTAATGTACAAGAATCGAACTCACCCTCCCTGGAAGACCAAATAGAGAATGATAAAGACTCAAATTGGAAAAATTTTTGAGAAGATTGACCTGCATGATGATGTGAACTTAATTCAAAAGATTGTCCGAGTGGGTGAATTAAGAGCTACAGCTAGGTCTCATTCTTTAAAGTTGATTTGTATGTACAAAAAATAGTGAAGTGGTTGGCAGAGTGCTTCGTATATATATATAATTATCGGTTTATAACGTTCTACGTCTTCCGATTCCCGATCTCCAACCATCTCTGTCAATCTAGGCATCCTCTTCTAAGCCTCTGTCTCTCATTTCTTCGTCTATTCCACTTCTCCAGCTCCTTCTCGGTCTGCCGCGTCTTCTTCTTCCCCCTGGCTTCCACTCAATAATTTGCTTGGGTATCCTTGTATCTGCCATTCTTTGTACATGTCCGCCGAACCAAATTAGCTGTTTGTCCTTTATATCATCTCCTATTGTGTCTTTTACGTCTATAATCTCCCTTATTCTCATATTTGTTATCCTTTCCATCTTTGACCTGCCTGTGGATCTCCTCCAAAAGTCCATTTCAGTTGCTTCCAGCATTTTTACGGTTCTGTTCTTTAGTGGCCAGACTTCTGAGCTATATGTGACTATGCTTTTGACTATGGTGTTGTATATTCTAGTTTTGTTGATATTTTGGTCCCACAGTACACCATTTAGTAGGGATATTGCCTTGCATCCCTGTATATTCCGGTCTTTAATTGCTTCGTCTAGGGTTCCCTCACGTGAGATTTTCATGCCCAAATATTTGTATTCAGTATATTGTTTTATTTCTTGTCCGTTATTCAATTTCAGAGTTTGCTGTTCACCTCCTATAGTCATATATTCTGTTTTAGTTAGATTTACTTCCAAACCCCCTTTCTCGTATTCCTCCATCAGTTTTCGTGTCATGTACTCTAGGTCATCACAGTCCTGTGCAATTACTACTTGATCATCTGCAAAGCTTAAAGTATATAAATTGTATTCATTGAGCGGTATTCCCATGTGTCTGCATTTGTTTTTCCACCCCTTAAGCGCTTGCTCTAAGTATATTTTAAAAAGCGTTGGTGATATGCAACATCCCTGTTTAAGTCCTTTAGTTGCTATAAAGCCTTTACTGATCATGTTTCCCTGTCTAATCTTGGTCTTTGCATCACTATAGAGGGTTTTTACTGCCTTTATTAGTTCTAAATTGATATCGGGTTTTTCCAGTGCTTCCCAAAGCTTTTTCAGCGGAACATTGTCATATGCTTTCTTTAGATCTACAAAGAGTAAATGGAGTTCTTGGTTATACGCTAGTTTCTTTTCTATTACCTGGGTCAAACTAAATAAATGGTCTACAGTTGATCTTCCTGCTCTAAAACCGTCCTGTTATTTTGCCTCACTATCTTTGAACTCGTTCTCTATTCTGGCTTTTATGAGTTTTCCATACACTCTGCTCAGTGTGTTTGTTACTGCAATTCCTCGGTGGTTCTCGCATTTGTTTCTATCTCCTTTTTTATATATCGTTGTTAAATAGCTTATTTTCCACTCTTCCGGTGCTTCATGGTTATCTATGCATATTTGAAATAGTTTTGTTAAATGTTTGTAGAGTTTATTGGTCCCATACTTTATCAGTTCTCCATATATTTCTCCTGGGCCTGGTGCCCTACCGTTTTTCAAGAAGCTACATTGTTTTTTAACTTCTTCTTGCATAACTCTTATAGGTGATCCTGCAGTTTTTATGTTCCGTGCCTGTTCCCTTTCTTCTTTAAACTCTACTCGCTGTTCTGTCACTAATTCTTCAAAGTACTCTTCCCATTTCTGGGGTGTTATTGTATTGATAATATCCTTAGTTTGTGTTTTCCTCATGTTTTTGAGTAATCTCCAACTTTCTGTGTTTCTTTTACCCCCCAGATAAGTATTAATATGCGCACAGTTTTTTTCCCATGATGCGTTTTTTTTCTGTATTATATTATTCCGTACTCTTGCTTGTGCTTCTTTATATATTTCTTTGTCCCGTGTCTTCTTTGAACTTGGATACTGTTGGTATTTCTACCTTTTATCTGCTATGTCTTTCTCTATTTCTTGATCCCACCAATAGGGTGAGGGCCTTCTTTCGTTTTTTTCGTATTTGCCTAGGGCTTCAAATGCTGCACTGTGAATACTCTCTTTGATATGTTGGTAATGCATTTCTAGGTTTTGAAGTTTATACTACTCTGTAATTTTTGATCCAATCTCTTCATGTACAACCCCTTTACGCTTTGCTCTTCTAGAGATTTTAGGTTGTATCTCTCAGGCACAATTTTGTCTTCTTGTTTTTCCATTCCATTTTCTTTTGCGGTGTTTCTGCCCGGGATAAAGATTTTTGTTTTCAGGAGGTAGTGATCGTAATAAGCATAAAATGCAATCAACTCGGATAAGCATAAATTGTCATAATAAATATTCATTGTCATAATAAATATTCGAAATGAGCTATAAATGTCACAAACAGCCCACACTAGGACTATACTGCTGCGTACAGTGTTTTGCAATTGTTCACAAGTCATGTTGGGGAAGGCAAAAAAAATGGGTTCATATCTTAGACCACAAAATCTATTGTTCTCTACTCTGCGAAATGGAAGCAAAGAAAAAACAAGAAATATTTGAGGAAAGTGTCACCCTTAAGGAACAATATGATGAATTATTAATGGAGCTGAAACAAAAAGACAACTACATTTGTAAGATGGAACTAGAGAAGCGAAATTTCACCAATGAAGCCTATCAGATGGAGGAAGAACTTATGAAAAAAGTTGCCACATAGTCAGAAAATTAACTTGTTACAACAGGAGCTAACCAGAGTACACAGAGACTTAAGAAAAATGGAATCAAGCAAGCCTGAAACCAGCGAAAAGTATTGCCAAACATTTACCTCAAACATTGAGACTGAAACACAGACAGATATGGTGATGGAAAGAGAAATATCCTGTAGAACACAAACAGAGGGAAAACCAGAGGAACCTATGTTGACAGAGGAAGACATTGATCTGTTGTACAAGCTTACTAAAATTTGCCCTGATAAACCAACACAGAGAAGCAGTCAATGCAGACTGAGATGCGAGAGGAAGTGTATTTAGAAGAGCAGAGATATGAACAAAGTAACAACACTAACATCGTCATTATGAGCACAAAAGAAGGCCACAGCTGCTTATAATAACAAATTCATGGTAATATAACAATCTCTATTGGGCAAAAAAATATACTGACAACAATTTTGACCTAAATTGCCAATACATGAAAGGAGCAAATTTTGATGAAATAATTCAACGCACTATAGAATATACACCAAAAATGAAGAGATTTGATAGTACTTATTATATTTGTAGGTCCGCGGAATGCATTAAAGGGTGTCAAAGTATCAGAGGATCTTATGCTAAACCTTGTTAAGCAAACAAAACAAATTAAACTAATGGTACAAGGAAGCCCAAAATCTCAAAAAAGAACCATTCTAAACGAGCTTATACAGGAAGTCAACATGAAAATCCAAGAAATGCTCATAAACAGTAAAGCATTGTATATTGACAGTAACCAAATTGTTAAACCGCAGATCATCTCAAATAATTTATTTTGGAATAAGGACAATCTCAGGCAGCTTTTCCTGCACTTGTGTGAGACATATATTTGTATTCTATGTTTTCTGCGTTGATATTAAGTTGTACGATACTATGGCTAGTCCACAACGTTTAACTCGCCATTTGACCGATGAAGAGGCTGTCAGAGTAATTGCGCTGATTGAAGATGGGCGAAGTCAAAGGTACGTGGCGAATTTATTGGGTGTACAGCAGAGTACCATTTCAAGAGTTGTTCAAAGGCATAGGGAGACTGGACGCCACTAGGCCAAGGTCGTCCGAGAATTACAACAGCTCTAGATGATCGTTTTTTACGACTTTCAGTCCTAAGAACACGACACTGCACTGCCCGAATGCTCCAAAATGACCTTTTGGCTGCCCGAAATGTTCAGATTTGCGTACAGACCGTACGTAATCGTCTTCGAGAGCATGATATACGTGCAAGGGTCCCAGCCAATGGCCCGCGTCCTACCAGAGAACATCGAGTTTGCTGTTTACAATTTGCTAGAGACCATGCTGGATGGGGTCTAGAAGAATGGTCCAATATCCTCTTTACAGAATAGTCCAGGTTTTGTTTGTTCTCTTCAGGCAGACGTATGCCAGTATACCGAAGACCAGGCGAGCGATATCACAAATGCAACTTTCGTGAAAGGGAATGTTTTGGATGTGGGTCAATAATGGTATGGGTAGCTGAATGGTGACAGGATGACAGCTGATTGATATATAAGGGATATCCTAGAACCCCATGTGGTTACATACGGCCCTTTTATGGGCGAAAAATTTGTGCTAATGCACGATAACGCTAGACCGCACGCTGCCAAGATAGTGCGGAAATATCTTGAGGAGGTGAATGTTGCTACTTTGAATTGGCCAGCTCGCAGCCCAGACCTCAATCCGATAGAGCACGTATGGGACCACTTAGGTTGGGCGATCCAGCACCATCAAGCACCCTTAATGAACTTCAAGATGCAATAAACGAAATATGGAACAACATGGAGCAAGAATACATACCTACATAGGTTGCTTGTAGGCTTACCAAGGCGAATGGAAGCTGTGATAAGGGCAAGAGACATGATACTAAGAAAACTGTATTTTTCAAAAAATTTCACATTTTTATATAATTCTAATATACCCGTTTTTGATATTCCTTATTCCTGTACATATTGATTCTAAAATGAGAAATTTTATTAATGATTTATGTAATTACAAAGCAATAGAAATTAAACCAAAAAAAAAGGTTTTTAAAAAAGTACATGGCTAAAATATTTAGAAATATGAGTGATGCGATAATTTTTTGTGCGGTGTGTATTTTATTTGCCTTCCCATTAATGAATAACAATTCTCTTCGAAGGCCCAAACAAAACACATGCCTGTTGCCCTCTAGACTCTATAAATAGCCAGATTCAATATTTAGTTTCATTCTCATCTCGCTTATTTCCTATTGTTTAGATTTTTGAGGTATTTTAAGTAATAAACACGTCAACCAGGCAATAAATATTATGTTTTTTTTTTGGATTATTTCCAATGCATCGGAAAATCCGAACATTTCAGAATGATTTTTTTAATAAACAAAACTGAAAATATGTAAATAGTATACTGTTTCCTGCATGTAACAAAGGATTGGAATTTCTGCTTTTATTCCAAAAGTAAAACTAAATAATGTACTTACAATTTATCATCCACAAGATTCATTAGCTCTTCTTCAATTCGCAACATCAGCGCTCGATCTTTCGGATTCTTATTAATAGTTTCAGGAATGAACTGCTCCAAATCTACACCAGTTGTATCCGTATAATATTCCGAACTGTTATCTGATAAAATTATATTTTTGGTTATTTTACATTATTATTAAATAAATTATTACCTCTTGATAGACAGGGACTGTTTCCAGTTGAACTCTCGAAACTCAAACTTGTCTGTGAGGAACTTTGGTGCCTCAATTTGCCTCTGTTCTTATTGACGTACAACATATTGGGGCTTCCCATTACATTGTTATTGTTGTTATTGCCGCCTCTGTCCTTCAAGCATTTTATACAGTTTTGGTTTTGGCAGTCACAGTATCTTTTACTGAAAACAAAGTCGATTTCTCAGTCAAAGGATTTTATGGCAGATTTAATATTAATTTTTCAATAAAGTTTTTGTAGGTGTTTGCTACCTATCAATAAACAACTTTGGATGTAGCAACTATTTTCTTTTGTCACCTCTGTGTTTTAATAAATTAAATAAAAGTTTCTGAATCGAATATATAATTAACTTTCCCTAGCTTGGTTTCTAAAGAATCTCGTATACAAAATCCTGCCGGCTTCCCCGGCATCGAATATAAAATTTCGTAAGAGTAGGAAGAAGCAATTTTAAGCCTCATTTCCTAAACAACTGGAAATTTATAATAAAATGGTTAGAGTCAAGAGAGAAGTAGTTTTATTTTTATTCTTTTTGCAGAAAACTCTTATAGATAAATGAAACCGTAGCAGTTTGTGAATTGTTAAATGCTCGTTTTGATAGAAAACAAAAAAAATAGAAATTTATTTGACCTCAAAACTGTTTACGTATCTACATGAGAAATACCCAAGGGTGGTTAACTCCTTAAAATATGTACACAGATTTTAAATCTTCATTGATTTTGTGGGATTTTGAGGATTTTGAAAATCTTCACATGATTTTACACGATTTTAAAAGATTTTTGGGATCCCAAAGGATTTTCAGAAATGTAAATTTTTTTATTAGGATTTTGCCGGATTTTTTTTGTTCTAATAAAATTTTATTAGATTTTTAAAGATTTTCAGGGATTTTAAGTAGATCTTACGAGTTTTTCTGGGATTTTGACCAACTTGTATACAAATTTTCATCGATTAACCGCTCGAAGTTTAGCTAACTCCATAAAATGTGTACATAATCAAATCTATTGATTTTGTAGGATTTTGATGATTTTGAAAATCTTCACGTGAATTTACAGGATTTTAAAAGATTTTAGATTTATGAGATTTCAGGTGATTTTGGAGAATTTAGGGAGGGTTTTTATGGCGTTTTTACCAACTAATTTAGGGAAGCCTTAATGATAAGTATTTCTTAAACTGACATTTCTCTATAGAAGACTGTCATTTTAAGGAATACTTATTGTTGAAGCTCCCCTAAAAAAGCTGGTGGAAACAGCCATAAGATATCCTAGGATTTTTAGAAGTTTTAACTGATTTTTGAGAATTTCAAAGGATTTTTGGGAATTTTAAAAGATTTTTTTTAGGAATACATATTAATGATTTTATAAGATTTTGCCGGAAATTTTTTTTGTTCCAATAAAATTTTGTGTGATTTTGTGAAATTTTATGCGATTTCAAGTGATTTTTAAGAGATTTTGTGAGGTTTTGTTAAATTTTAAAAGATTTTCAGGGATTTTAAATATATCTTACAAGTTTTTCTGGACTTGTACACAGATTTTGACCAATCAACCGCTCCGAGGTTTAGTTAACTCTATAAAATAATGAACACATATTTCAAATCTTAATTGATTTTGTAGGATTTTGGGAATTTTGAAATTCTTTACACGATTTTACAGGAGTTCTGAAGAATTTAAATTTTCAAAATTTTAGGTGATTCTGGAACATTTTGGGGATTTTTGAAAAGTTTTCAGATATTCTAAATTCAAATGAAAAATTTGATTGGAAAAACGGAAATTTCTAGACATTTTACTATAAGATTTTATAATACTTTTCCAAATTTCATCATATGATTCTATGGAATTCCACCATAAAATTCAATGGAATTCTTGAACAAAAATTCCTTGGAATTACAGTAAATGATTTCATGAAATTTCTCGGAATTTCACTAAAATTTTATATAATTCGAAAGAAATTACTCAGAATTTCACTAAAATTTAATTCAATTCTTCGGAATTCCGCCGAAATTTCTTGTGGTTCCATGGAAATTTCACGAAAATTCTGTTCAATTCCGAGGGAATTCTTCGGATTTCACTGGAATTCCACAATATGATTTCAAAAAATTCCATGTACATATGTAACTCGACGAGAATTCCTTGGAATTTTACTCGACATTTCATCGAAATATAATGTAAGTCGACACAAAGTGAAATTATGTATAATTTGATGGAAATTCTGCGAATACTTATTTCATAATGTTCTTTTTTTTTTCGAGATCCCACTGAAATTCTCCAAAACTCTATAAAAATTTCAAATTCCATAATTTTTTAAAAACTACTAGAATTACCCAAAACTTCACCACTGGAATTCCGCAAAATTTTTATAAAATCTTTCAGAATTTCACTGACATTTCCTGTAATTTCTTAGAAATTCCTCAAAATTTCACTAAAATTTTATAAGAATTTTTTGAAATTTCACTGGGAAATTCACAGAAATTCTCTTCCAATAGTCAGGAATTTCTGGGAATATTAATGAAACTTCAAATAATTTCTTGAAATTCACCGAAATTCCTCCGAAATATATTGAAATTTCATATCATTACATGGTAATTTTTCCACATATCACCGAAATTCCAAGTTTTAAGCCGGAAATTCCTCGGAATTCCACTTGTGAAATTTTCTCTAATTGTACTAAAATTCAGTAGTTCGATGGGAATATTTCGGAATTTCAATTTCACTAAAATGTCATGTTTTTAACTTCATGCAATTACATTAGGATTTTTCGAAATTTCACTGGAATTCTTTATGAAACGATAAGAGTTATTCAAAATCCCACTAAAATTGCATGTAATTCCCTGACAATTCCATGTAATTGCTACGAAGCTCCGTATAATTCGACGAAAATTCCTCGGAAATCATGTAATATTTTGAATTTTTTTAAAAATCCTTTATGTAATTCAACGAGCACTGAAATTTCATGTTGGGAATTTCGGTGTAATTTGATGTAATTGTTTAGAATTCTTCCATACAACTCATTTAGGATTTCATGTAATTCGATCGAAATTCCACTGAAATTTAATGTAATTTCCCGAAATTTCATGTACTTCGAGAGGAACTAAAATTTAATGTGAATTCTATGAAAACTTCACAAAAATTTTACATGTTACATTTCACACCATAAAATCCAATGGCATTCTTGGAATTTTTTTTTCTTTGGAATTACAATATAAGATTTAATGAAATTCTTCGGAATTCCCCTAAAATTTCAAGTTATTCCATAGGAATCCCGCGAAAATTTTGGTCAATTCCATAGAAATTCCCTAGAATTACACCAAAAGATTTTATGGAATTCCCCGAAATTCCATTTAAGTGATAAATTTGAATGGAAAGACGTAAATTTCCAGAAATTTTACTATAAGATTTTCATAATACTTTTCCGAATTTCATCATGAGATTTTATGGAATTCTACCATAAAATTTAATGGCATTCTTGCACAAAAATTCCTCGTAATTACACTATGAGATTTCATGAAATTCTTCGGAATTCCATTAAAATTTCAAGTTATTCCATAGGAATTCCGCCAAAATTTTAAGTAATTCCATAGATATTCCTTAATATTTCACCAAAAGATTTATTGGAATTTTCAGACAAATTTCTTTCGGAATTACAGTACAGGATTTCATGGAATTCCTCGGAATTTCACTAAAATTTCTAAATTCCATAATTTTTTTTTTAACTTTACTGAAATTCCCCAAAATTTCACCACACAAACATCCTGGAATTCCAAAATTTTCATAAAATTCTTTGAAATTTCATTGATATTTCATGTAATTTTTCAAAAATTCCTCGGAATTCATTAAAATTTTATGAGAATATTTTGAAATTCCACGTTCATTCTCGAAAGTCCAATGAAACTTCAAGGAATTTTTCAAAACTTCATTTATTTTCATAAGAATTTTTCGGAATTTCGCTGAAATTCTCTTTTGATAGCCATGAATTTGTGGGAATATTAATGAAACTTCAAGGAATTTCTTGAAAATTCACCGAAATATAATCGAATTTCATGTCATTACATGAGAATTTTTCGGAATATCACCGAAATTCCCTGTTTTTAGCCGGAAATTCCTCGGCATTCCACTTGTGGAATTTTCTGGAATTTCAGTAAAATTCAGTAAGAACTGAAATTTCATGTTGAGAATTTCGGTGTTATTTCATATAATTGTTTAGAATTCCTCCATGCAATTCATTTAGGATTTCGTGCGTAATTTGATCGGAATTTCACTGAAATTTCATATAATTCGAGATGAACTAAAATTTAGTGTGGATGGAAACTTTGCAAAAATTCTACTGACATTTCTCGAAATTCCACTAAATTATGGAATTCTGAGAAACTTAAAAGATTTTTGAGGATTCCAAAGGATTTTTGGGAATTTCAAAGGAAATATTTTTTAGGAATGTTAATGATTTTATGAGATTTTGCCGAGGATTTTGCAGAATTTTTTTAATTTTAATAAAATTTTGTTAGATTTTGTAGGATTTTATGCAATTTCAAGAGATTTTGTGGGATTTTGTTAAATTTCAATTTTCTTTAGGGATTTTGAGTAAATCTTATAAGATTTCTGGGATTTTGACCAGCTTGTACACGAATTTTGCCTAGTTAACCACCCTTCGAGAAAAACACTCACCTTTTTGAACCAGCTTGACTAGATTTGTTATGCATTTTGTCCAAGGAAGTTCCATTTTTTCCGCTGAGATTCCTGGGACTCTGAGGTAAATCCGTTTCAACAGGATGCAGCCGCTCGCAGCTACCATTATTATCGCAGATTGGAGAGCACCTAAATACAGTTCGAGTCAGTTTCTAATTCCAGATTTGTTATTTCGACAAGTGATTAGTCAATTAGTTCAATAAAAGTTGTTACTGTATATGAAGTGAGTTTCAGTGAACGCGGAATCCGTGACAATATGAAACATTTAACAACATCGAAGTAAGGTTCCCTGGATCAAGGGAAGATATTGCATATTTATCCGGAAATTGAAAAATCAATAGATGCTTAGTATAAGAAGAAATACCAGATCAATGGAATATGGCAAGAGTAGATACAATGTGAGGTTTACTTGATTCGTACAAATTATATTCTTACCTTGAATTTGGACTTGGAGTGGCCACTAAAGTGGCCGGAGATCCATTCTCACTACTTAATGTACTAGGTTCGTCTTCGACCGGCGAAGGGCTAAGCACCACCGTGGGCGGCGATTGAAGTTGTACGCTACTACCGTGACATTCTTCCAACGATGGTTCTCTGGGAGGCGATTGTTCCTCGCGCATCGCATGGCTACGACCGAGAACCTTTAGCTTTGAGGTAGGCTAAAAAAAAATTGTTTTGATTAAAAATACCTATAAGATTAGGGAAAAAAAAATCGTAACAACTTTAGAGGTGGTGTGCCAATAAATTACAAGGCACGCACAAAGCCGATGCTGTATTAAACTCGCATTCCGACATGGCAATAAAGTTTTAGCAATGGCAATGAACCAGTGTCGAAGCGTTTTATTTTACGAGAAAATCGATAGAATCAAAAAAAAAAAAGTTGGCAGAGGTTTTGTTTGGAAAATAAAACCGCAGACTCTAGCTAGATTGACTAACAAAACTGTTCGGTTCGAGACAGAATCAATACAGTGAAATTGGATTTTAGTGGTATAGTATAATTATAAATACATAGGGTTGAATTGATAAACCGGGATGACTCTGGCTTGTTTCATAAAGTAACTTAAAAAAAAAACTAAACTTTAACATTTTGGCATAAAGCCGGCTTTAATAAATCTGTACATATTGGCAACTTAGTTTTACAAATACCATCCAAAAAATAATTGCGAAGGCGAGCAATTCAAATATTTTTAGCGAGAATTCTGATATATCAATAAACTTTCAAATACTCCGGGGTTCACAATGTCCACATCTAGTGAATACGGGCCTGACGACCCCGAGTTATCCCGGTTGAAGTACGCTTTTCTTTACCTAGTCTTGAGGTTCCTTTATCCTCTTCTTCTCCTACCTTTCCTATCCGGTTACCCATGACCATCTTCTATCATGTTTTATCACTTGGGGTGGCAAAATTCAATGAGCAACCTATCAATCACTGAAGAACATTAATCCTCAGGTATACAACTTTATGAATACCCTTACAAATAACTGAATTAATTACTGAATTCATTCGAAACCTTTAGTTACGTTAGGGCAAAATTTTAACATAACAGACCAAGTATGATGTGTATGGGAACAGAGAGAAAAAAAGTCAACAACATAATTATTGGTAGAGTAGGTACTCGAACAAACTGATGTAACATGCTAAATGTTACTGTTTTAATTTTTTTCACATAGGTACTACATATTTTATAAATTAAATTATCGCCTTGAATGCTGACTGCCATTGTTAAAAGAAGATTTCTGTTGAAAATAATAATAGCAATTATTAACCTAGAGGGCACGCTTTTCGTTTAAATTTGAAGTACCAGTTTGGTACCAACACATTCCGTTGGCTATTTTTTGAAGGGGTCCTTTTCTTCGTCCTTTCAAATTTTGCCGTTCGCCCCGAAAGGTCGACTCGTGAAGAAAAATACCTTATCGGCCATCAGGCATTAGTTTGGAGAAATAAAGTTGCGCAAGGCAAAGTTCTGTTGATCACCGAAAAAATTTGAATCAAGTGTCGTGATTACCGTTTTATTTAAGTTTGAATTTCGAACCCCTCGTGGTAAGTCCTTTTTAAGTAATGGTTGTTCATGGAATGCCTCTATTACTTAGGGTTTTCCAACAAACCGTTTCTCTCAACGAATCCATTTCCAGCAAGCCCACATTTTTATGGAGCGTGGGCATACAGCTTTCAAAGGGTCACAAGAGGAATCAAGTCCCTCACGTATTGACTTCTGTACCTCCACATTTGACAATAACAGAACTTTTAGCCTCTATCTACCTTGATTCAAGACTGAAATCTATACAACTTCCATTTGAAACTTCCCTCGTCAAGTGACAGAAAATGGATGGCTACCATAATCCACCTTTTATTGGAATTGAGGCTTGTATGGAGTTTCAATGTACCACCTTTTTTGAGTTGAAATCTATTTTATGATCAATTATCATAAGTGATTGAATTTTTACCGACATTACATTACGGAGTGAACTTTAAATAATTATATCTGATTTTTGATTTATCGAATTTATTATAGATTTATGTTTTGCTTATGGTACCACCATGTTTAAAAAAATTTATATTTTATTATTCATAATCATTAATCTGAGCCGAGGTCAAGGTTGGACAATACCTATGTTCTAAATTTAAAATTATTGAGTAAGTACCTATAACGTCAAATATTAATTTTTTTTTTTTTGGGATTTGATGAATCTGATCGAGAGTTAACCTCTATTTATTGATATAATTTAAAATTTAAAGTGTTTCACCAACAACTGATTTTATCTTTTAAAAATATTCAATTCTTGATTATGAACCCCCTAAAAATATATAGTATTTTGATTTGAAAATTACTTGAGTGTCTTATTGGCTTAACCTATGTCAAGATTTGGTTAAGTTATATGCCTTATTTTTTTTTCCTTTTCAGAATTAACAATTACCATTTGTAAATTTTTTTTTTTTTTAGGTTTGTTTCTGAATTTTTACACTGAGCAAACTGAGCATATGATGGGCCTCCTGTTAATTTATTAACAGAAGGGGTTACACTGAATGAAACACGACAGAAATTGCAAAAAAAATATTTGAATCCATGCAAATAGTTATAAGGAAATTGTTCTAAAAAGCAAGGAATATACAGAGGGAAAAAAGCTACAAGGCAACCTACACTCTGAATGGAAATATACAAGGTGTTTCCGAAAGGGTATTACAAACTTCAAGGGCAGATAGTATTCATGAAAATAATTTAAAAAGTTCCAATTAATATAGGTCTGGAAACGCTTTGTTTCCAAGATACAGGGTGTTAAGTTTTTCAAAAAAAAAATATATATTTTTTTATTAATAGCCCAAAAGAGCTTTAGCCGATTTCAATGAAATTTTCATGGTTTATTTCAATCATTATCAGACATCAAACAAGTCGGTTGTTTTTGTGCAGAAAAAAATATCAATCTGTAGTTTTTGTACGATTTTTATTGATTATTCAGATAGTCACTAAAAATACATTTCTGTCTCTTGAATTTTCCAATTATCTCGCTTCGTTTTCGCGAAAAAATTACAATACCATACCTCAGCACGTCTCTGAACTCCATAAGGAAGGATAAAAATTCATAGGAATTAAGGTACATCACCCATTCATTGAGTGACAAGGACATAAATTCCATTTGAGGTTTTTTTTTCGTTTTGTTTTCATAAATGAACAAACTGCGATAAATTTTTGATCAATTTCTAATGAAAAAGCAAAAAGACAATAATGCTGTATTTTTAGAGGGTTTAGCTGAATAACTGATAAAAATTGTAAAAAAACTACAGGGTGATATTTTTTTTCTGCAAAAAATCAACCGACTTGGTCGATGGGTACGCGCCTTGAAATTCTGGAATAAATTTAATTGTTCCAGTAGATGTCTGATAATGGTTTAAATAAACCGTGAAAATTTCATTGAAATCTGCCAAAGCTCTTTTGAGCTATAAATAAAAAAAAAATTTTTTTTTGAAAAACATAGCACCCTGTATCTTGGAAACAAAGCGTTTCTGGACCTATATCCATAGGAACTTTTTTAACTATTTTCATGAATACTATTTGCCCTTGAAGGTTTTAACACCCTTTCGGAAACACACTGTATATGTAAAAAAGAAGAAAGGGGACAGCCCTATTAAAATAATTTCAGAGGAGTATCTTGGATTGGATACTCAATTCGGAAAGTAAGAAAAATCTCAAATAAACATTCCTTCCTTAACAACCTTCTAGACGAATACAAGACTTGTGATATGTGTATATGTGATAACCTGAACCACATTCTTTCCTTTAGTGCTAGTAAAACAGATCCAAATATTATCCATGTCAATATTCGCAGTATTATTGACAGTTTCCTGGTTTTTGTTGAATCAATTGGTAATAAATTCGACATTGCTGTTGTTCACGTTCACACATAGCTCAATTTCCAAACTAATTTCGTATATTTGATTTTAAATTTTGGCGCCATTACAATTTCAAGTTCTATATGGCACGAGAAAATTCGATGCGCTTCCCAGAAATCAGCGCACCAATCAGATTAACAGAGAGATCCGAACTTGTCAGTTGAGTTTTCAGAACCCTCAAAACCTACACTTTGAAATTTAATTCAAAATCCTTTAGAAAATCAGCCTCATAGTTTTAGAAGATATTTTAAACCTTTTTTATGTGATTGTGTTTGGTAGATCATCAGGTGCACCTGCGGGAAAAGAAAACGTCGTTGGAAGAACACAAGTAAGTGCCTCCATTTTGTTCTTGTATGGCTCGGGTACAAATATCAGCAAACATTTAGATGAATCAACGCGTTTACAGTCCCGCGATCTTATAATCGAAGATAAATCGAAGTTCAACATCAAACGAACAGCTGTAATCTCGGAGACGCATACAATCTATGACATCGACAATAACTTCAATATACCTGGATACAATTATTAATAATATCACAGTCAAAATGAGATAATGTTCCTAATGAAAAGAATGCTGAAACATGTACTGAGAGCTTTAGAAACTCCATGCAAAAGTTGATTGAAAGCTGTACTAGTGAATGTAGGATTAGTAATAAAAACCAGAGGTTGAAGCCATGGATCACTGATAGTCTTGTAAGATCAATGTGGAAGTCACCAAATGAAAAAACAATGTACCCACTCTACATCATGCACCACAAGGAAAACTTAAAAAACAAGGAAACAGAGAATCACTGTCAAACTATAGACCTATCGTCTTGATAAGCACCGTCAGTAAACTAATAGAGAAATGCATTAAACTCAAATTGCAGCTATTTTTTGAATGCAAAAAACCTCCTCTCAAATAATCAATACGCATTAAAAAAAAAACTTTAGTAGGTATAGAGAACGCCCTAAGTAAAGTCACTTGATATCAGGGGGTCTCGACGAGGGCAAGAAGGTTGTTTGAATTTTTCTGGACTTAAAAAAGGCGTTTGACACTGTGGCGCATCATATACTGCTTGAGAGTACACAAAATGGCCAATAGAGGCATAGTATATAAAGCTTATTGAAGTCAAAAGTCAAAAATAAAAATCTTGGAAGGAAGCTTATTGCGAGTTAAGAAGCAACTTAAGGAAAATAGTGAACAGGAGCAGGAAAACAAAAAAGTACTCGACCAGAAGCTTGAGAACACTATGCAGGAGCATTCTACCACGAAAAAAAAAAAACTGGAAA